GCTTTAACTAACTAAACCACGGAGCCTGTATACCAGAGATGAGTACAGTAATAATATGACATGTACAGTACCTAATATGGTGCGAGTATAGACTGATTTTTCCATGTAGGTATCGCATAATATTGTGTGCATGGATCATATTATACCCATTATATATGTCCGTAGAATATGCTAAAAATTAATATTAACATTAATTTATAATAAACAAGTTAAATGTAAATAAGTAAATTGAAATCATATGATATTTTATACTAAAGTAATAGTATAGTATATAAATTCTGATATATAAAGTATATACATGTATATGGTATAGTATATACTCAGGCATATATGCGTATATATAGAGTATATACTTTAGTATATATAAGTATATATTATAGCATTTCTATATATTATATTATATTATATTATATTATATATATAAATTTGATATTGAAAGTAAAATCCACAGTATCGATTCCACTGTGAAACGACGCGTATGTACAATCCCGCCGATCGTGCGGGATGAATACTATATAATTTTTCAACATATCGATAATATATAAAATTGCCTTTTGTTGCATAGTATAATATATATTATATATTATATATGAATGGTACTACTATTATATATATAGGTATATACTATAGTATGTATGGAGTATATACTTTAGTGTATATAGGTATATATAATATATTATGTATAGAATATATTCTGTAGTACGTATAGAGTATATACTTTAGTATAAATAGGTATATACTATAGTATGTGTATAGTATATACTTTTGTATATATAGGTATATACTATAGTATGTATATTGTATATCGTCAGCCTAATTCGCAAAGGTCGTATGTCCAAAATTACAAATTGTTCAGGAGAAGAAAAAAACGTTTAATTAATTCACTTTGATAAAATTAGACATTATTCTTTTCCCTTTCATTTAAAAAACATAATTGCAATTATAATAGAACAACTTAAACATTGTAGTGTTCATTAATAATTTTAAAGTGGACTTAGGACTTTTTCTTCTTAGATTGCCTAATAAATATATCGTGGCCATATTATTAATTGGAGATACGACGATTTCTAATTATCAATTTCATGGAGGATAATATTATGAAATCGGAAGTTTGATTGTATCAACAGACGCAGTTTTTTTTCTTTATTTTATGAGTAAATATAATCCCAAAATGACAAAAAATGGAGATACGACTTTTGCGAATTAGGCCGACGATATGAATGATACTACTATACATAGGTATATACAATAGTATGTACATAGTATATAAGTATGTACTAGTATGTACTAGTATGTATATAGTATGTACTAGTATGTACATAGTATGTATATAGTATGTACTGGTATGTATATAGTATGTACTAGTATGTATATAGTATGTGCTAGTATGTACATAGTATGTACTAGGATATATATAGTATGTAGTAGTATTTACTAGTATATATACATAGTATGTAGTAGTATGTACATATTATGTACTAGTATAAATATAGTATGTGCTAGTATGTACATAGTATATAGTAGTATGTACATAGTATGTACTAGTATGTATATAGTATGTACATAGTATGGACTAGTATGTATATAGTATGTACATAGTATGGACTAGTATGTATATAGTATGTATATAATATATACTAGTATGTATATAGTATATAATTAGGTATATATGGGTATACACTATAGTATATTTATTTATTTATTTATTTATTTATTTATTTATTTTATTTATTTATTTAATATAAACGGACGTGAGTCCTAAAACATAATAATATTACATTGTGAGTGAAAAAACACATTAATACGTAAAACAATAATTAATAGTTTCTACTTAAAATTAGAGAAAGAATAAAATAATAATGCTAAATTAGAAATATAATACAAATCAAATATAAAAATTATTATTTAAATATAATCAAAGACAAAAGTATTACCTGCAGTCATAAGAAGGTTAGCAGGAGAGTTCAAGATATAATTTTTTGTTGAAAAAAGTGGATAAAAGGGTTTTGGATCTCTAGTATTAAGGTAATTAATTTTAAAACGGATTAAAAAGAGAATTTCAGGACAATCTATTGAACCTAAAATTAGTTTTTGTAAAAATTTAGAGAGTAAAAGTGTACGACGGTCAGACAGTAGAGAAATATTAAGAAAATGTTAAATTTAAAAGAGATAAAACGTAAAAAATTATTTTGGACAGATTCCAGCGTAAGAGCCTGTTTCGACGTACTATTTATCCAGATGAGGGGGCAGTACTCTAAATTAGAACGGACAAGAGAGAAGTAGAGGATTTTTAGGGGAATAGGATCTGAAAATCCAGCACAAGTACGCTTAATAAACCCTAAGTTACAAAAAGCTTTATTTTTAATAATTTCAGTATGCAGAGAAAAATTTAATTTACGATCAAAAATTATACCTAAATCTTTAAATTGATTAACAAGCTCGACATTTGTGCCAGAAATTGAGTACTGAGAGTTAACGGGATTATTAGTTAGGTAAAATTTCATAAATTTACATTTTTGTATATTTAAAAATAGATTATTCTCATTACATCATAAAATGAGGTTATTAATGTCTAATTGCAAATTAAAAGCGTCTTGTTCTGATTTAATAATCTTTACTAATTTTGCATCATCGGCAAATAGAAGGATATTAGAATTAGTTATGACATTGGGAAGATCATTTATAATTAAAAAGAAGAGATGACAGGTGGTCACCTTGAGGAACACCAGATGGTATATTAAACTGTGTAGAGGTAAAATTTAGATATTTAACGATTTGGTGCCGACCTGATAGGAATGATTGAAACCAATTTAGTAGAGAACCTGAAAAACCAAATATTTGTAATTTTTTAATAAGAATAGCATGATTTACCTGGTCAAATGCCTTAGAAAAATCGGTATAAATAATATCAGTTTGCGCATTTAATTCAAAATAATTAAGGATTATGTTTTTTACCACAGCTAAATTATTACAGGAAGATCGCTTGGGAGTAAATCCATATTGATGATTTGATAGTAAGGAAGAACAGTAGCTTGATAATTTTGAGGAGACTAACTGCGAAAATAATTTCGGGATAATAGATAACTTAGAGATAGGACGATAGTTCGAAATTAATGAAGGGTCGCCTTTTTTTAAAATTGGAGAAATAAAAGAAGTTTTCCAAATAGAAGGGAATAAACCTTTTTTGAGAGATAACTTAAAGATATTTGTTAATATTGGAGTTAAGATAAATCTACAGTTATAGAGGATATGTATGAGGTATATACTTAAGTATATATATATATATATAAATATACCTACTATAGCACTTATAGAATATAAACTTTAGTATATATACGTATATACTATAGAATGTATAGAGTATATAATATATATATATATATACGTGCATACTGTGATATATGTATATATATATATATATAGGCGCTCGCGGGGGCCCGCGATGACGTAGGAGGCGCGGGACGACGTAGTCCCCGGTGTGGGAGGGGGGGGGAGAGGAGCTCGGGAAGCGCACGACGACGCAGGAGGTGCTGGCTGGGGGAGTGGGGGGAAGGAGTCGCGGGATGACGTGGGGAAGCATGATGACTGGTGAGTGGAGTGGGGAGGGGAAAGAAGCAAGATGACGTAGGGAAGCATGATGACGTAGACAGGTGAGGGGAGTGGGGAAGGGAAGAAGCATGATGACGTAGGGAAGGGCAAGGAGGGGCCGGGAGTCGCAGTGTGGCGGGGGGAGTGGGGAGGGAGTCGCAGGATGACGTAGGGAGTCGAAGTGAGTCGCAGTGTAGGCGGGGGGAGTGGGTGGGAAGCACAGTATAGACGGGGGGGAGTGGGGGAGGGGGTAGCGCGCATGTCGGCAGGGCGGGAGGGGGGTGAAGCGGGGGGAGCCAGAACCGGCTATTTCATACTACTATCCAAAATTGTCGTGTGATCAATGACGTAATTACCCGAGGCCCTGAGTGACATGTTACCAGGTGCCAATGTCGCGCGATTAGTACCGATAAGTGAGACTCCTTAGCCAACAAGATAGGCTGTTTGTCGTCACTGGTCAGATTAGAACGTGTCAAGCGGCCTCCGACACAGACAACGCAACGTGCATCAAGGAAGGGCCTCAGACCAGCCAATGACCGTTGGGCAGGGCGGCCGCTCCCTAAGTCTGTGTGGAGCTTAGACAACCAACAGGTTTGAGACTGTTTGACCAAGACGATGAGCGATTCTCCAAGTTCCTCACGCGTCAGATAATCTGTTGTGTGTGTCTGTTGTCGGGCTCGGCCTGCAAAGCGACGCATCCAGGCCACAACTCTGACCATGTTATGATATGACGAAAATCGACTAAACCACTCGGCCTCCGGTTCAACTTGGACAGATACAGAGAGAACTTTCGTTTCCGGGAGCTGCTCAATAGGTACCACTGCGATCGACATATCCCAAGTGTCAACAGCGTCCTTCAGGAAGGCAGGACCCGACCAGTATACCAAGTGCTCAACCAAGTCTGAGGGCAACAAACCTCTGGAGGCACAATCCACCGGATTTTCGGCCGACCGGACGTAACCCCAATGGCAGGATGGTACTAACTGACAGACTAAATGCACTCGATTCGAGACAAATACTTTGAAACAAGTGTGAGGGTTGATCAACCATGAGAGCATTATCTGGGAGTCAGACCACGCAAAGATCCCGTCCACGCGGAGTCGATCACCAAAAACTGTGAGGAGTCGAGTCAACCAGCGGGACAGAAGCACGGCCGCACATCCCTCTAATCTTGGGATAGTGCTGGTCTTCATGGGCGCCGTCTTTGTTTTGGAACCGAGAAGATGCACTGTGACCAGTCCTGACAGTGACGTTATTCGCAAGTATGCTACCGCTGGATACCCTTGTTCCGAGGCATCGCAAAATCCACATAATTCTACGTTGGACTCACTAGTTGTCAATACAAAACGCGGAATTTCGATTTTTGATAGTATTGGGAGGTGATTAAGAGGTTCCAAGTTCGAACTAGGTCATCTGGTAGAGGATCGTCCCATCCCTGTTCAGTTTTCCAGATTTGCTGCATGATATGTTTTGCATGAAAAATTACAGGCGCAAGGAACCCTATCGGGTCAAAGATTGTGGCAATGGTGGACAATACCGATCGTTTGGTGATAACCTTGGACACTGGGTGGACATCAAAACCAAAAATGTCCTTGACTGGTTCCCAGCGGAGGCCTTGACCATACCTCCTCCTTTGTCATCGAAGTTGATCACCTCGGAAACTCGGTCAGTTGCAGCAACCCCCGACAGTACGCGAGGCGAATTGCTCGACCACTTTTTTAGCTCAAGCGCGGAGCGGCCCAGGACGGCTATTAAATCTGATTGCACACTCGATAGTTGTTCCTCGGTGTCTGCCCCCATACAAATGTCGTCCACGTAGGTCTGATATTTCAATCCATCCCGGACTTCTGGGCAATCATTGCACTCGTTCTCGGTGATATCTTTTAACACGCGTAGTGCCAAGAAGGGGGCGCAATTGACGCCGTAAGTGACAGTGTTCAGCTGATATTCCTTTATCTCATCCTTAGCGGAGGCGTCAAATACCACTCGTATTTTGCGTGCCGCATTGAAGACCGGGTGGTGGGGTATGTAGTACGTCCCGACTTCATCAGCGATGGTCATGTGTTCCAACGGTTCGTAATCTGACATGAACTCTTTATACGCGGCATACAGCCCTTCGTCGGCCTGGAGTTTCCGTATCAGGTTCTGGAAACGGCGTATTGCCAACTGCCTAGAAGCCAACTGCCTAGGTTTATCAAACTGCTCGACTAACGTGGCCCAAGCGAGATCGTATGTTCCATTGGACACCGAGATGGAACTAATAGCAATTAACGCGTCACCACGGAGGCAACCCGAGCAAATAATAGAAGCGGTCGCTGTCCGTTAACTCGTCATCCAGCACGACTAGGTCCGTAAAGCGGTCGCGGAACGCCGGCCAGCCACTCAATTTGCCACTGAAGAACGGCAATGGGATTTCTGGGAGCCGAGAGCGCCTTGAAGGGCGACCGGAATGATTGGAATGACGTGAGCGAACACGTTGTGGATGATACAATGAGATGATACAATCTCACAATATTATTTGTATTCATAAATTAAATAACAACAAATATTATATAATATATTATTTTCTGATATATATACAGCGTGTTCCTACAGAATACAGAGTAATTGGAAAAATATAAAATTATTTTTATCACTTTTTGAATTTATTTTTAACTATTATTTTATTTACGATTATTTCTCCTGGTAGTTGGTAATAAATCATATTCATTATATAAACTATTTAATTATTATATTAAAAGCATTAATATTAATTAATAATTTAAATAATTACATACATATATAGGATAATAAATAAGTATAATAATTAATAACCTATGTTGCTGCGCGCGGGTCGACGAATTATATTATTATAGTCGACTGATGGACGTATTTTTGGCGTGGTGACCCGGGCTATAGGCGCTGATATAATATACTATAGTACATATAATATACTAAATAATTTTATTCAGTTAGTGTATTATAATAATATACTTATATACCTATTAGTCATTACTCATTACACTGCAGCTGACTACAGTGGTAAACTGTGTGGTATAAACTTATTATAAATAATACGCGGGCATTGGCAGTGTATCTATATATCATGTGTTGGCTTACTGCAGACTACTGCAACGTACCTGCATATACTATATTATATTATAATAATTAGATAATGACTGCTGTTCAATTTCGTAGTGAAAATAATATGGAACTTTTCTGTTTTACCGGACAACCTTTTTTTTGCAATTTTTTATGTTGTATAACGCGTTTGTAGTTATAAGCATGCTTAAAACTATGGTGAAGTCAGACTTTAGAAGTCGGACTTACTTCTTTAAGTTATAACTAATTGCAATTTATTGTATTTTCATATATGGATACACCTGCAGGACAATTAAAATCGAAAATATAATCCCTCGGCTTAATTATTACTTAAAACCATCTAGCTAGGGTGGGTATCGACTATCGGAATTAATATAAATTAATATATAACTTCAAAACTAACTCTAATCTGACATCATCATTGTTTTCAGCTTGCTTAACTATACAGCATAAGTACGTTGAAACAAAAATAATTGCAAAAAAAAGGGGTCTGGTAAAACAGAAATAATACCTATATATTATATAATATATATAATATAGGTAATATAGGTACCTATAGTGATATATATATATACCTATATAATATATAAGTAAGTGAAATATTGTTTTATCAATTTAATTGAATTATAAATCAATTTTGATTTTCAATGTTTAATAATTATTAATCCTGGTAAGTTAAATAAAGTTTAATAGTTAAAACTCATACAATTTTAAATGTGTATTAAAATTTAAATAATTTGTTTTCGGATGTTATTAATAATTAATTCATTTTCAATATTTCAACTATAACATAACAAACTAAATAACTATTTAAAGTTGGATAAAGTTTTAATTTTAAATATTTAAATTTCAATCAATGTTAAACATTGATACAATCGTTGTGATTGACAAATGCTGTGTGGGAAAGGCGATTGAACAAGAAATCCATGAAACAAATAGTCACTTTAGGACCGGAACACACGCCAAGGTGTTTAATAGGACATATTAATACCGCGAATAATTTTATGGAAGAACCATTTAATACTCTCGAAATAACGAAAATTACGCGAATCCTAACACTAATTATGTCATCAGATTCAGTGACACCCACATGTAAACGATTAATAGATTATATGAGATTTTTGCACGATACTAGAGATATATCGGATTATGTAAGATGGTTTTAATTTTATAAGAATATAATAAGATATTTTAGTTTAATATAAATATAATTTGTACACAGTAATTTGTTATAGTACCAGCATCAATATCTATTATACTAATAATAGCAATTTATATAATGATAAAATACAAGTATATCAGGACCACAGAAGTCATGGAATTACCCGGCAGAATAGTTAGATATAGGACACCCAATAGAAATGAATACGTACGAAATTATGAAGAGACACCCTTTACTCCACCACCGTCGCCAAGATAAATAGAATAAAAATTTATTAAGAGTAGTCACTAGTCACTAGTCATAACGAATTATTTACTTTAAATTTAATTAATAATAAATAAACTATACAAAAAAAATAATATAACATATTAATAAAAATAATAAATACTAAGTTATAAATATAAAATAAGCAATAAGCAGATAATAAGGATAAATGGAATTAATATATCATGTAAATTATAGATATATAATAATAATAGTTGTGTTTCAGGAAATACCAAGAGGAAAACGAATAATAATAATATAATTTAAATAAATAAAGATAAATAAAAATAAATAATAAAATAAAACATTATTACGTGCATAAAAGAAATAATACGTATAACAATATTCTATGGAATAAAATAAAATAATATTACGTGCATAAAAAAATAATATATATATATACGTAAATAATATTCTAAATAATAATTATATAATAATAACTTTTAACTATTTCAGAAATTAAGAAGAAAAACAAAAAAAAATATATAAAAGCACACGTAAAAATTTAAAGTATAAAAATGGGTGAGAACGTACCACCTGTAGCACGAACCGTTCGAATGCAACTACAAACATTTGAATTTCTCAGAGAGTTGAAAAACGAATTAATTCAATCAACCAATCATACACAGATAATGCGAGGGGAAGTAGTCAGATTACATTGCTTCCCGGAACACATAAGAAGGGCGAATAATAACATGACCATACCTTTCAGGCCAAATATCTTAGCATGAGTTATGATCCATGTTAATGACTTTGTACGCACGGTTATCGTAAGACCAAATCATAATAGACCCATGTGTGTAGAGTTAGGTTTACTAATAGAACAGTTGATCAGGAGGCGTGTGATCGTCGAAACGATTTTCGAAGAATAACCTCAGGAAACATATATTATATACATAGCAATAAATTACTAAGAAACCAATTAATTAAAAAAAATAATTATTTTATTATAATGGACTTCGAGTTCTTTACCGTCAGTAAAAACGAAACATTACTGGTATCCGGCACAATATCGAATAGTTTAGAAAAGTACCAACCGATGAAATTGGAGGGGAGTTCTCTTATACTTACAAAAGATAAAAGTTGAGAAGATTTCGCCGATGCGACCTAAAGAAAATAGTGCAGAATATCAAACGAGTATTCCGAGGGAAAAAGGCAAGAGTGATTAAACCATTGCTGGAACAATTATACAAAAGTGTAAGTCACCAGGGGGGGGTCGACCTTGTCTACGGTATACTTGCAAAGATATTTGCACATAAACGATAGGGATGTATGTTTCGTAGCAGTGTAATGGGATTACGTAATATCATGTATTTGCTCATAAAAACAACCAGGAATGCGACCACACCCAAAAGTGTTTACGACTAGAATACCACTCTTAGTCATGAGGTCCATATCAAGGACGACTGTACACGCGCGGCTCACTTCAAAGGACGCCGCCACCATATATATAGGAGACAGCGAGAGAGCCTGAGTAGATGTACCAGGGCCGCCAAGACCAAGCGGGCCGCTTAGCCACCAGCCATTACACACAACTTACACGGAGATTATCGACTACTACAACGAGTCAACTCACGACGCTGCAATTCACCACGACTATATTAATTATTATTGGTTTTGTTGAAAGTGAAGCTTGACGGACTAATGATGTTAGCATTAATATAATAAGTAATAACACGACAATATGATTATGTATAAGTATAATATATAATAACGTACAACTGGACAATTAAACTGTGACTGTACACACACATCGTATACGCTCTGTACAACGACGCCTGTGCAAGTGAATATTACATACATCAAAGGCCCTATATATATGCACGACCGAGGTCATGTTACATCCGTGAAGAGAGTGAGTCTTATGCTCGTACATAACTAGTTACTATATTGTACACACGTGTCAAGGCTGACTACATATACTACATATTAATTGTATATTTCAACACCCTCCCTCAATTAATAATCTCTTTAATTGTAGCCACTCCTATGGCTGACCGCAACTTCTCGAATCGTTCCTTAGAATGTCCGCAATCTGGTCCTCTGTTCCAATGTACTGTAGTTGGAATTGTCCCTCTTCGTATTTCTCCCGTATAAAGTGGTACCGTACGTCTATATGTTTTGTCCTCTTATGAAACTCCGGATTCTTAACTAAACGTATAGCACTCTGATTATCTATAAATAAAACTGGTTGTTTGTCACCTGTTGTTGATAAGCTTGTTATCAACCGTGTAATCCACAAGATCCCTTTGACAGCTTCACTGGCCGAAAAATATTCAGCCTCTGTCGATGATAACGACACACAATGTTGTCTCTGCGATGTCCATGAAATTATGCTTGACCCGTACCTGAATAGAAATCCTGAAGCCGAACGTCGTGTCTGAATGTCACCTGCGTAATCTGCATCGCTAAATATTTCTAATGACAATTTTGTTTTGTTATTAAAGTACAAGCCATAATTAAATGTTCGCTTGATATATCGTATAATCCGTTTTACCAAGTTCCAATGAGCTTTAGTTGGTTTTGCTAAGTAACGACTAGCAAAGTTTACTGCATATGCTATATCTGGTCTTGTTACCTGTGATAAGAACAGTAAGCTACCTACTGCCTGCCTATAAGGAATATCTTCATTCAATATTTCCGTATCTTCTTTTTGTTCAAGTGTATGTGATTTGTCTATTGGTATTGGAAGTTCCTTGGCTTTATTCGATCCATCTTCGTATCCTGGTGGTTGTACCATGTAAATTTCTTCCTGTAGTTCTCCGTACAGAAATGCTGTCTTGATGTCGAATTGTCGTAGTATTAATTTTTCCACAGCTGCTACTGCGAATATCGCCCTAATTGATTCGTATCTGACCTGAGGCAAATTAACTAGTGACCAAGTGTTGTTTTCGTGTAGTGATTTAATTTCATCACTTATAGCGTGCTCCCACTCGTTTTTCTGTGGGCCAGCTGTCGCTTCATCACGATTTAGTGGTTCAACGAGATTGGCGACGAACGACGACACATTATACCTGATCGGCGCTTTTAATGTATTCCGATCACGTAGCACCATGCCACTCCTGTTGTCGACCGTCGTCAATTCGACCTTGACCGGATCGTCCTCGATTTGAGTCTGAGTATCTGTGAATTCTAATTTGTCTGCAATTATATTTTCCAATTTATTACCTTCGTTTTCGAATATAATATCTCTAGACATTGAAATTCTATTTGTTTTCGAATAATACACACGATAACCTTTCGTGTTATCCGAATAGTCAACAAATATTCCTTTTTCACTTTTAGGGTCCCACTTTTTACGTTTTTGCTTTGGTATGTGTGTATATACGACAGTACCAAAAACTCGTAAGTGTTTAATGTCTGCCATTACCTTATAATATAACTCGTATGGTGAGTTATTTTTAACTGAACTGGTTCCTGTTCGATTAAGCGTGTAAACAGCCGTGTTTACCGCCTCCGCCCAAAGTGATACATCCAAATTTTTCGCACAAATCATTGTCCTCGCTGACTCTACTATTGTACGATTTTCCCGTTCCACTTTTCCATTTTGCTGTGGTGTGTAGGGAACTGTTAACTGATGTAGAATCCCGTGTTTTTGTAAAATACCCGTAAATTCTTTATTTACGAATTCTAATCCATTATCCGTTCGTAATATTTTGACCTTAGAACCTGTTTCTGTTTCAACACTTTTTATGAACGTCTCAAAAATATTTTTAACATCATATTTATTTTTAATAAAATATACCGTTCTATAATGCGAGTAGTCGTCTTTGAATAACAAGAAGTATTTTTAACCACCTATAGAGCTTACCTCCATTGGTCCACATAGGTCTGCATGAATTAAATCACCGACATTGTGATACTCCGTATTACTTTTACTAAATGATTTACGACTTTGTTTACCTATTATACAACTGCTGCACTTGAATTCGTCGTCCTTGGCCGAACATACTATTTCGTGTTTCGCCAAACAACTTTTTACGTACTGTAAATTCTGATGTGGCATGCGCTCGTGCCAAACAGACAACCTGTTTTCGACAGCTACCGTCGCGTACCCGTTTGTCGGTACTTCGACCTTGATGTTTAACTCAAACAACCTTCCGCATCTCTTACCTGAGCATACGGGTTTCCCCTGTTTAGTTAACATACACGTCTTACTATCTGACGTCAATACTAAACCTTTATCCATCGCGGCTCCGCACGAAAATAAATTAAATTTTAGTCCTGGCACGTGCAACACGTTTGCCATGTAATTTTTATTCCAATTACCATTTACGTATGATAATATATTAATATTACCTCTACCTGCTGCATACAGATTTGTCCCATCACCTATCGTGATTTGTTGCGTGTTGTCCAGTGGTTCATAACTTGAAAACCACTCTCGATTTGCGCTCATATGATCCGAAGCGCCCGAGTCTAGTACCCACGCATCTGTTGCAATGTTATTTATACTTGACTCGCTTACGAATGCGTTCAAGTTCGCACCTATCGTACCGGTTTTACCACCGTGTACACTTTGTAGAAAATTTCTACAGTCTCTTTTATAATGACCTAGTTTACCACAGTAATAACACTTAATATTACTTTTATTAGTAAATTGATTTTTACCTTTTCCATAATTACGACTGCCGTTTCTTCCATCAGATCTGTTTTGAAATTTGGCCGGAAATGCACTCGATTTCTCTTGTTCACCAACTTCACCTTTGATCTGGATAACCCGTGATTCTTCAATCAACAATCGACTAGTCAAATTATTTATATTTTTACTTCCCGTTGGGACTGAATCCCAAGCACTGTAAAAATGATTATATTTTTTTGGTAATGTCATTAGTATTTTTGTCATAACCAAGTTATCCGTAACTGGTTCACCCGCTACTCTCAGTTTCCTTCCTAAATTGACCAATTTAGTAATATGCGTCGACATGTCATCTGTCGACTCCTTTGAATAACTGAAAAATTGTTGTTGAAGCAAATGTAAACTTGCCTCAGACTTCTGCTCGTAAATACTCAGCAGTTTCTCCCACATTTCCAATGCAGTCTCACAGTTAATCAAATATTGTAATGGACCATCGTCCACTGAGGTAACTATTATTTTCTGACATTTACCGTTCGCTTTTTGCCAAGCGTTTGTGTGCCTTTGCCAACGTGCTTTGGCATCCTCGTCGGTCTCTCCTGCCGACTTTTTTATAGGTAGACTTGGTTTCGTCCATTCACCTGAAACTATCTCACCTACTTCCAAGGCATTTAGAATGACCTTCATCTGGAACTTCCATTACGACCAGTTTTCCGCACATAATTTTGTTATCTTCACCGTGTCTTCCATGACCGATGATTTCCCGTATACTTGACCTGTATAACAATTTATAACAAAACTTTACCTATGTACACTGTTCCGCCGTTTTCCGAAATCCAGGATATCTCCGACTGGTTGTAGTTTTCTGCGTTAATACAAATATAAAAATACTTCGATCACGAATCCACTAGACTGTATGTCTTAGTTATTGACTGGGCCCATAACCTGTTGAAAGTGAAGCTTGACGGACTAATGATGTTAGCATTAATATAATAAGTAATAACACGACAATATGATTATGTATAAGTATAATATATAATAACGTACAACTGGACAATTAAACTATGACTGTACACACACATCGTATACGCTCTGTACAACGACGCCTGTGCAAGTGAATATTACATACATCAAAGGCCCTATATATATGCACGACCGAGGTCATGTTACATCCGTGAAGAGAGTGAGTCTTATGCTCGTACATAACTAGTTACTATATTGTACACACGTGCCAAGGCTGACTACATATACTACATATTAATTGTATATTTCAACAGGTTTTAATAAATTACAATTGATTTATATTTAAATTGACTACATTTTATTGTAAAAGTGCAACAAGCTTTTGGATCCCTGAAGGGCCGCATGTAACACAACCGTTTATACCTAAGTTTTCACTGCTCAGTGTTTAATGTGACTTGTATGAATACTCGTAAAACGTGCTCGTGTTAAATAATTTAATATTATTATTAAATTTCAAAATGTCTACTTCATCGTCGGCAACTAAAACTGCACTTCGTGGTTATAATAATATATAATATTTAATTGGATCAGTTCAAAATCAAATAATCGGAAGTAAGCTACCTTCTAACAGACAAGTTATTTCTGTATTGTTTTATAATTTACGGGAAGTTAAATTAAATTTACGTGATATTGCGAAATTAGTTACAAAAGAAACAGTTATATTTCGGGAAAAGGCGTGAATACATATACGAGAACAACATCATTGTATCTCGAAGTTAGAAGCCTTAAGGGGCCCACACACGATCAGTTTAACTGTGCAGTTTATCTGTGAGATTAACTGAGTAAAAATTGTACCGTTATCTGAACTGAAGGTATGTAGGACACATCAGTTTTTCCATCAGTTATGATCACAGTTCCCTCAGTTTTTTCGTGCGGTGTAGTCACAGTCTACTGGTCTGATGACAATGGGTGACCGAAAAAAAAGAGCAGCAGTGTGTTGTGTAATTGCAGCAGTGCTGCTTGAAGAAGAAGATAAGCGGAAGAAAAGGCCACGTGAACGCTGGAGCAAGGATTGGTTTCTGCAAAGAAGTGTTTTGCCCAGCGATTGTCATTTATTGAACGAGTTGAAAGAAGGAGGGGAAATTTCCGATTTCAGTAATTACCTACGAATGGATGACAACAATTTTCAAGTGCTCTTGAAAAAAGTTTCTCCCCTCATCGAAAAACAAAATACAGTCATGAGAGCCGCAATACCTTCTCATGTGAGATTGATAGCTACGCTTAGGTTTCTAGCGACAGGGAGAAGCTATGAAGATTTGAAATTTTCAATGCGAGTTTCCCCTCAAGCACTCGGAGATATAATCATAGAAACCTGCATAGCAATACAGATAGCACTACGAGATTTCATTCAAGTAAGTGTATCATTGTTATTTGTTATACCTAACAGTTAAAGTATATTTTAATTAATGATGAGTACCTTCAGCATTGGACAACATTTAGTACTAGAGGTGGCTCGGACTCGAAAATATGGTCTTCCCATCACTAAGAATGAATTGGTTATATTATGTATCAAAAATATTATCTTTATTGTAAATGTCCATACATGTACGAATATACCTATACTATAATCGTGCATGATGTGACTATATCAATTGACTATCAGTTGTGTTCGGTTCTAATAATAGTTTTAAAAAAAAATGTGTCAACTATAATATTATATTATTTATTTTTAGGACTACAAACGGGGCTGAAAGTTTCCATAGTACATATAATGCACAGTTTAATAGTGCTCATCCACCAATATTTGTCGTTATAGCTACCCTTATGGAACCTCAGGCAGAAATAGTTACCAAATTATTAACCATTTCCAAAGGTATAATAAAACCAAAATCGAATGAAGAATCAAGGAAAATTGAAAATTTGAAAAATGAACACAAACATTATGTAAACAATAAAACACCAGAAAATTTACTAAATTAATAAATTTATAAATTAATAAATTTCCCCTCAAGCACTCGGAGATATAATCATAGAAACCTGCATAGCAATACAGATAGCACTACGAGATTTCATTCAAGTAAGTGTATCATTGTTATTTGTTATACCTAACAGTTAAAGTATATTTTAATTAATGATGAGTACCTTCAGCATTGGACAACATTTAGTACTAGAGGTGGCTCGGACTCGAAAATATGGTCTCGAACCGAACCTTAGTATGTCGAACCGAACTTTTTAGTATGAAGTCGAACTTGAACCGAGCATTTTATTCAACATCGAACCACATCGGTAGGTGGCAATATCGTGGTTTTAATTTTAGTAATTTTACATTTATAATATTTAAAATTTAAATACATTATACATAGTATATAATATATACATAATATTGTATTATTGTATAATATACTATATAACTATATAGATTATAGATTATAGACAATAGGAAAACTAAAAATAAAATAAACACCACAATAAACATCGGGAACATTTTTAGTTCGAAACGTTTGACATGTTAGAATTTTTTGCTCTTCGTACATTTTTTGAGTTCGAACTCTTTTAATTTTCGAACTTTTTTGTTCGAGTTCGGTTCGGTTCGGTTTTTTTAAGACTTGGTTCGACTTTCGAACTCGAACCGAAACCTAAAGTTCGGTTCGATTTTTCGAACTTCGAACAGTTCGACCCACCTCTAGAATTTATTATAGGTCAATTTTTTTTTAATACCATAGATATGTATATAATTTGTCTTAAACCTAGACTGATATACCGTCTTCACTCAGAATCGTTTTTCTTATACAATGATATTGTATCATTGAATTCAAATTTAATAGCATCAATTATACAGTGAAAAACTTTTAACCTACTGTACAGCAGAGCGACATCCACTTACCCACCTTTTTTCTTAATGTATTTATGGTTTTTTTTTTTTTGCCTCGAATATGGCTTTCTATAAATATGTTTATATAATATGTATGGTAGTATCATAAAACAATATAGGTACATAGTCATTATAACATTATTATTATATAGTTATGTACTTATGTACTATAAAATATATATTATATGGTTATTTAATCTAAGATAGTACTATGAAGTGACCTTTTTTTTAAACTTTGGCGGGCTGGTCTCGAGCGTTCTGTTTCGGCGATAAAAGCGATCCTAACATCATGCCTTACCGCCAAGCTTACAACATCAATCAGTCCGCCACGAAATAAAAACAATTAAAGTGGAGGGGCGAGTGTCGCTTCTATATTATTCTATGGCGATACCGACCTGGACACACGACAGCGGTACACACACGTTCTGTGAAATTCCGAACTCTAGAAACTGTCAGAAAACATTGAATGTGTTATTTTTGTTTTTTTGTTTGACTCGCGTCGCTGACAATAATAAACGGTTAATCACCTCTCAGTGCGACGTTCGTTGTTTTTATTTTATTTTCTATTCTTTTATTATACCGTCTGTTTGTTCCGATCCGACTGTCCCGTCGGTCACCACCACATCAACACCCACGCGGCACAAGACAAGTCCGCTTCAAGACGGCACCAATTATTCTTAGAGGAAATTCGAGTATGGAGAAAGGTGACGTAGCCAAAAAGTTTATGGAAGAAATTGTCAAAGTTGCACTTAAGATAGAAAATATATTAAACACAAACGTACCGATTAAAATGACTGAAGAGGAAAAAAAATTACATCGAGAAATCGCAGACCGAGAAACATGTCCGTTATGTAAATCAAAATTTAATAATAATAATAATTTACCTGTTAGGGATCATGACTATTTGACTGGAAAATACAGAGGAACTGTTTGCAGCAAATGTAATTTGCAAATGGTGAAACCTAACTTTGTTCCTATTTTTTTCCATAATCTATCAGGTTATGACTCTCATTTTTTGGTATTGCAGTTAGGATTTGATACAAAATCTATTAATGTAATACCAAACACGGAAGAAAAATGTATCTCTTTTACGAAATACGTTTCAAACACTTTTCAAATTCGTTTTGTCGACACTTTCAGATTTATGGCAACGAGTTTGGGAAAACTTGTAATAAATTTATCTAAAGGAGATAAATTAAAATTCAGGGACACATGTAAAATATTTAATAGCACTGGCATGGATCTTGTAACAAGGAAAGGGGTCTACCCTTATGAATATACGGACGGGTGGGAAAAATTAGACGAGAATTGTTTGCCGAAAAAAGAGGATTTTTATATTACATTAACCGAAACGGATTTAAGTGACGAAGATTATGAACATGCAAAAAGAGTATGGAATCATTTCAACTTTAATAGCTTAGGTGAATATAGCGACTGGTATATGAAAGTTGATGTTATGCTTCTTTGCGACGTTTTTGAAAACTTCAGAGATTTATGTTTGGACACGTACGGCTTGGATCCGAATTATTATTATACTGCACCCGGGATGTCTTTTGATTGTATGCTTAAATATACTGAAGCTCAATTAGAGCTTTTGTCTGATTATGATCAATTATTAATGATGGAAGCTGGAGTCCGTGGTGGACTTACACAAGCGAGCATGCGATATGCTCAGGCGAACAATAGCAAGGTTCTAGACTACGATCCCTCAAAGCTTAACTCAACTTGGGGGGGAGTATGACGCGATCCCGCGCAAAATCTGTTTGAATTCAAACAGCCTTTGCGCGGAAGCCGCGCCGCGGCTTCTCAATCAAACCGCCAATCGACGACGGACGACGACGCCGGCGCGCGACACGCGCGCCTGGAATCGTCGGCCGGCCGTCCAGCGAACCGGATTGTGAAGGCGCGCTCTCTCGTCTTCCCGACACCGTCCGGTACACACCCGAACCCACACCCACGTTCCGCGTATTTCGCTACCGGTTCCCAACGTATGTACTGAATAATCTTTTGTGTTTTGTAACAATAAAGACTTAAGTGACACCTCATTGCGTCGTTCGTTTGTTCGTTGTGTTTTAATAATCTTTTTTATTATCCCGTTTGTTGTTCCGACCCGACTGTCTCCGTCGGTCACCACCATCACCTCACCACACCACGCGGCACAATAGAACTTAGAAGTCCGCGTCAACTATGTTCGTGAATACTGGCCAAGTCAATTTGTGTTTCAAGACAAATGCTTTGAAAGCGTTCAACCATTGTGAAATTGCAACTATGTCGTGTGCTGAACTAATCATCTCTACAACGGGACACGTGACACTCGAATTTCTAGGTAACGGGACATTCACAACTAAAACGTAGTACAGAACTCTTTTGGTGTTCTTGTCAATTTTCCTGACCAATGTACCAGTTGCGTCCAAATAACCAGTTACTGGTTCTTGATTTTTAATCAGTATTTTTAGTATGTCCAACTGTTCTTTACTATAGCAGTGCACAGATGGTATACCGACATGCTGCACAAAGTTGTTTTCTTTATCGTTACACATCAACAGAATATCATGAAAATCTTCTTTATCATAATCATCGGCAGTCGAGGCCTCAGATCTGATTTTCCTGACAACGTCATCTGATTTAATACCTTGCAAATTCCCACAGTTCAACTGTGTGGGTGATGCCATGTCAACAGTGTCTGACCTGAAGGAAAACGCTTTAGTTTTTTTCAGCGTTTCTTTGTTCAAGTCTCGCTGAAACCCTTTCACGTGGTTCGTGAGACCATTGTCATTAGGATTGTGATGATAATTCAAACCAGAACTATACACATTCGCCACATATGTTCCGTTTGCTGGCTGGACTTTAATTCTAAAATGTTTACACCCCTCATGGCTACAATACATGTACACGTTGCAATGATATTTAAAATATCTGACATTCTTTGCATTAACAACGCATGTATTGTTTACAGTCCTTATGCGGTTTCTGAACATAACAGGATATTTAGTCTTGTCCAAACGGGCTTGACCTCCGAGATCAACATCAATGAAAAGTTGAAAGTTCCTTCAAGACACCTCATATCGTTGTAGTCATATTGTTTTGGAAATTGATTTTTTGTTCCCAGAGGTAGAACAACACCAGACTTTACAGGCGTTTTCTTATAGAAAGCATTTCTGAGGGGGCTCGGTACATGTTTTATATTTGCTTTTTTACATGGGGTAACAAAAACAGATTCATCGGTTATGTTTTTTGGTAGAATTGGAGTACTACTAGGTATTAGTGGATCTCTCTCAGTCCGAATAAAATCAAAGTCTGGCGATGCATTCGTATATTCTAATGAAACATTGTCACTTTCCAGAGGTTCGGAATCTGTGGGCACCGAATAAGAAATGCAATTTTCAAAAGTACCATTAACATTATCAGAATTTTCATTAAAACAAAAAATATTTGAATCAATATTGTCAGTGTCATCCATTGATAGACACGGGGGCAGATTGAGGTACTTTCTACATTCTCTGTAAACTTTTTTCCTATTAGTATTAGTTAGAGTGACTCTAATGTTTCTACATATGTTAGTTAGAGTTTCGTGATTGT